GTTGTTTTATGTTTGGTTTGTAAGATAATTGAAGTGTACAAGAATTTTATGTTTAAAGGTTTTTGTCATTTTCCTGTTTTGATTAATTTGACAAATAAAGAGAACTCAATGCTGTTACATGATGTTCGGTTTTCTATCCGATCAACGGTATTTTAAATAACCGACCGTTGCACACAAGTAAGACCGGAATCTGAAAGAAGACCAAATTCGCAAACCGGGCCGATGTGATTATTTAGTGAATCTGAAGCATATCCACTGTCCCACATCGACTACATCATTGGAAGGAGACTTGAAGCAGCTGTTTCTGTCAGGAAGTTAACGCCTCTTCCTTGGCTTTTCTATCCACTAGACCAACTCTCTGCTACTGGTTCACTCTACATTTTTATCGATCCACTAGGGTGTCAAACATATTAAGGTAGGTTTCCAGAGTTAAAGAACCATAGAATCTTCTATTCTAGGGATGGTTGGTTGCTTGTTAGAGACTATTATTACCCATCCGGGTTCTTTCTTAACCCGTTTACTCGAGAGCGCATCAAGTTACCCTCGGGGTTAGGCTACTACTTAGCTTTCTCGGTCGCTCCTACGTCAACTAGTTGTGTGGTGATCTCACTCAAACAACTATGTGACAAATCAAGTATAGTGATTGATACTTGGCGTCCTGGTGAAAACGTATGGACCAAGCATTGCTTTGAGAACCCGTTAACAGAGTGCAAATGGACACTATGTGTCTTCTCCAATGGTATGTTCTACTGGCTAAGTGCCTACGGTTACCTCGGGGTTTTCAATCCGTCTAGAGAAACATGGAACATTCTTCCGGTGAAACCCTGTCCCGCAGATTTCGCTAGGCCAGTTTTGATGACGGAACATGAAGGAGACATCTATGTTATGTATACGTCAAACAGAAGCGACCAACCGGTGTTTAAACTAAACCTTGAAAACAAAATATGGGAAGAGAAGAGAGATTTTGGTGGCTTGACAGTGTTTTCAAGTTACCCTGCCTCTCTTACAAGAGCTGGTCTCTCCGCTGAGGAGAGGGACATAATATATGAGCGACTTAGCTTGCACTACTCCTTCTCCAATGACAAAAGCTTCTTTTGTCCTCCAATTTTGTCTCGCACCATCGCTTGGATGGATCCACCTCACAACCTTAATTTTTGACTAGCTCTAAGTCTCACACACCCAAAAATGGTTATTATTAGTTGAAGATTTTACATTCAACCATCTAGGTTCTTGCTATAGTTCCCGTGTTCACATGATAATCTGCCACGAAACACTTTTATAAGCAGAGTGTAAGCAGAGCAAAAGCTGGTGGTTTTTTGACTCGGGAATGTTTACTCAGGCGAGGTAAGATGATTGTTGAGAATGCCTTCTGAGTTTTTAATTCACAGAAGCTGGAAATCTCTGTGTGGTGTGTAGTTTTGTCTTTTGTTTGTAAGATAATTGAAGTGTACAAGAAGTTTCATGTATACAGGTTTCTGTCATTTTCTCTGTTTTGATCTATCGGACGAAAAATTGGAAAATACTTAATTTGATGAATATGCTGTAGCTTTTTATTGTAAAAGAGATAATCAATGTTGATTACAAGAACTTGGGTTTTCAATCCCTATTAAAATAACCGATAGTTACGTAAGTAAGACCGTCAGAAACAAGACATAAATTCGCAAACATTACCAATGAGTTTATTTAGCACATCAAATCCTTTGTCCCACATCGACTACATCATTGGAAGGAGACTTGAATTGCTTATATATAAAAATGAGAGCCGGTAGCGTTAGGGTCAATTTTCGAAACTGGCTTTTTTTTTGGTAATCGAATCCCGAAATTATTAATTAGACAAAGACATAATAAAAAGGAAATTACTTTGCAAACGTTTAAATAAATGAGGACTCACCGGCCAACATACACGGCGGAATCTCCGGCATCATTGTTTATCCCTCACAGTGTAGCCCTTTATTCAAGCACTTTAGCTTCCGACACAAGAAAAAGAAAGATCCAATCGTGAGTTTATGATC